TTATCCATGAAGGCTCAGGCCTCCCCAGTGGAGTGTGTAGAAGGGGGAGAATAGGGTTCCCCACCCACCAGCTCCTCACCAGAGACAACCAGAGCAAGAAGAATTGCCAGGGGCCTGAGCAACATCATCGCGCCCACAGGACAGCGGAGGAGACTTGGAAAGCAGCCGCCTCTGCCAGGCCCACCTGTTGCCAGGTGACGCTCAAACACCCTGGGTAGGCGGGACTCCTGGGCCTCCCAGGCTGTAGCCCCACCCATCACCCACTCCCCCACCTCCCCACCCCACCCCTCACTCCCTGGGACTGAGCTCTAGACTCCAGACAGGCATCCAGAGGCCTGTGAAACCCCGTTTTTTCATTGCTACCAAGGATTTCCTCTGTTCATTACTACCCGGAGGAGGCGTGAGGGGGAGAAGCTTCAGATGCGAAACAGCTCAGGAAAGTCTTGGTCATACAATCCTCGGAGACGGAACAAGACGGTACCCAGGAACACTGGGCCCACGGTGGGCTCCCCATTGCGTCTGAACTCCAGCTGCCACCCCCGTCAGAACGTTATCTGCCTGCAAAGTCTGAGCCCAGCCACCAACAAAATGTCTCAGAAGTTGTTTACCTCTGTCAGGCAAAAGGAATCCCTGGTGACAGAAATCAAGTCGCAGTTATCTTGGGGATATCTGAGAGGTGTCCTACACATCTTGATCTGGGTGACGGATGCACAAGTGTCTACAGGTTTTAATATTTATTGAGCTGTACCTTTAAGAATTGTCCATTTGGCCGAAACCGGTTTGGCTCGGTGGATGGAGCGTTGGCCTGCGGACTGAAGGGTCACAGGTTCGATTCCGGTCAAGGACATGTACCTGGGTTGCGGGCACATCCCCAGTGGGAGATGTGCAGGAGGCAGCTGATCAATGTCTCTCTCTCATCAATGTTTCTAACTCTCTATCTCTCTCCCTTCCTCTCTGTAAAAAAAATCAATAAAATATATATATATTTTATTGTCTAACAGGCATCTCCAGAGTGACGTGTCCACCAACCATCCTGTGATTTTCCTCGCAAATCCACTCTTCTCCAGTCTTTCCTGGATCAATTCACGACCATCCCATCCAACCAGATGTTCAGGCCAGAAGCCCAGGAGTCATGCTTGATGCTCTCTCTCCCTGCCCATATTCATGCATCACCAAGATCTTAGCTTCAAAACATACCCCAAAGTGACCCCCTTTTTTCATGAGCCCCCCTGAGGCCCTCATGCTGGATGAGGGCAGGAGCCTCCACTCTGATTACAGAGTGGTTCTCCCCAAACAGCAGGTACCCCCTAAACAGGACCCAGCCCAGGGCAGTCCCTGCTCAAACGCCCTCAGTGCCCCCAAAGCCTCCGATTCCCAAGGCTGCTGGGGGCTGGTGTTGCCGACCTCTGCGCCCTCCCAGCCACCGCCATCACAGACATCGTGGGCCTCCTTTGTGTGAAGGCCTGTCCACTCCTGTCCTCCGGGGCCTTTGCCTGGCTGGCCCCTCTGCCTGGAAGGCCCCTCTTCTTAACCTCCCCGCACGGCTCATGCAGACCCCGGGCAGGGAACCGCTTCCTCTGCGTCCCCTCTCCCGTCAGCCCGTTGCCCTCAGGCCGGCATTTTTCTGGCTGCTGACTGGTGGTCTGTCTCCAGTTGGACAGGATCCTTGACCCCAGCCTGCTATCCTGGCGCAACCCGGAGCAGGCTCTGCCGTTCCCACCGGAGGGCGCCGCAGAGGATGCAGACGTCGCCGCAGGAATCGCCGTTCACCGCGCGCTCCCCACTAGAGGGCGGCCCGGCCCAGCTTGGCCCGGACGCGGCAGGAGAGGGCGGGGCGGCCGTGGGTGAGTGAGGCTCCTCCCGGTGCTGCCGCCACGGCCCTCGCTGGTACTGAGCCCTCCGAGGGGCCGGGCCCAACCATCACTTCCAGGGATTGTCCAGGCGCCCGGGAGCGGGTTCAGGGGTCGGGCTCACTCTGCCCGCACGAGGGCGCAGCCGGGGGACCGTCCGGTACAAATGGGGAAACTGAGGCTACGTGGGGGAGCCGCTCGTTCTTGGTCACGCAGCGAGTCAGAGTGAGCTCAACCGCCCGGGGCGTCGGGGAGTC